TTCCCATCCTTGTGCTTGCAACCTATGCTATTGTTATTGAAATGTGTTTCTTGGAAACAAAATATAAAAGCAGTTAATGCTTTTTATGTACAGTGTGATAGTTTCTGGTCTTAATGTATTTAGATAATTTACATCTCATACAATTACTTATGTTTAGATATAAATTTATCATCTTTTTATGTTTTTTCTTGCATTTTTGTTTCTCTCCTTTTATGTCTTATTTTAACATCTTAATTTCTCTATTTTAACTTTATTATATAGCATCATATAATATTTTATTGCTTCTTTGAGATATTAAAATGCATATTTAAGTTTTCACTGTCATTTACATGAGTTATATGCTAGTTGGAGGAAAATTCAAATTCTTTTGCATACCTTTATGGGTGTGAAATCTCTCCTTTATTATTTCTTTTTTGTGGTATATATACACATTTGAGTTTTATTCAGCCACAAAGAAAAAGAATAAAATTATGTCATCAGCAAGAAGATGGATGCTCCTGGAAATAAGCCAGACTCAGAAAAGCAAATATTGCAAGTTTTTTGTCTTTTGGGTGTGTGTGTGTGTGTGTAATATATGTGTGTGTATGAAAGCAGAAGCAAAAAAGATATGTTGAGAAAGGGGACTAGAAAGAGATGGTGAAGGGAGAAGGTATGGGGGTTGTTTTTCTAATCTTTTTATTTTTCAGAGCTATCTCTTTTTGGTTCCTTAATCAGAAGGTGTCAACTGTTACATCTTAACCAGATCCTTGTTTTTTGATTTTGGTTCCTGTAGGCTTCTGTTGCCAGCCATTGTCTCTGCCATGGACATAGCTGGAGTTGGTGCATGAAAGAATGGAGGAAATGACTAAAAACAGTTATTTCTCCCCGTCCTCTGAGCACTAAAAGATACCTTTCCAGTTCCTGGAAGCACAGTATTCATTGCCAAGTTTCAAGCTATGCTTTAATACAGGTTATATAATCCTACAAGGAAAAAAAAGGACTATGAATTTGCTGGTCCTTTGAATTCTGGTGTTCTCCCTTATCTGTAAAGTGTTTTATTTACTTTTAGAAGTTTCAAAGAGTTAGGTTGTAATTTTTATCAATTTTTTATCAAATAACTGAATGTAGTCAAAGGCAAAGAGCAAAATGTGTTTACTCCATCTTATCCAGAACTAGACCTCTAGTGATAATTTAATTCTGTCAAACTATTTGCTTGTAAACTTACTTGTATGTTATATGTGTCATCATTATTTACATCACACAAATAACACATTATGGGCTTTGTTATTAATTGTGGCTATGAAACTGAACTCAAAATAAGAAAGGTCAAGTTTCTAAATGAAGTAATTATACACTATAGTCTTCTCCCCCTTTTCTGAAACACATTCATTATTATTCAAAAACAGTATGTTCCCAGATTCTTTGTTCATCCCCCATAAAAATATGGAGTCCTATGGACCAGCTTTAGTGGTATGACATAACAGAATGAAAAAGAAGTGATTAGAAACGTAATGCATCTTTCCAGTGAACTCTTTTTTGAGACCATATAAAATGTCTGGACCATATAAAATACAAGGGTGTATTGCTTACTCTAAAAACACCATGTGTTTACAGCTGATAAATACCTTTAGTAATGTGGCAGGATACAAGATCAACTCCAAAAAATCAGTCGCCTTCTTATACACAAAGGATATGGAAGCAGAGAGGGAAATCAGAGAAGCTTCACCTTTCACAATAGCCACAAACAGCATAAAATATCTCGGGGTAACTCTAACCAAGGAAGTGAAAGATCTATTTGACAAGAACTTTAAAGCATTGAAGAAAGAAATTGATGAGGATATCAGAAAATGGAAGGACCTCCCTTGCTCTTGGATTGGGAGGATCAACATAGTAAAAATGGCAATTCTACCAAAGGCAATTTATAGATTCAATGCAATTCCTATCAAGGTCCCATCAAAATTCTTCACGGATCTTGAGAGGACAATAATCAATTTTATATGGAAAAATAAAAAACCCAGGATAGCCAAAACAATCCTATACAATAAAGGATCTTCTGGAGGCATTACCATCCCTGACTTCAAACTCTATCACAGAGCTACAGTAATGAAAACAGTGTGGTATTGGCATAAAAACAGAGAAGTCGACCAATGGAATCGCATAGAAGACCCGGAATTTAATCCCCAAACCTATGAACACCTCATTTTCGACAAAGGAGCTAAAAGTATACAATGGAAGAAAGAAAGCATCTTCAACAAATGGTGCTGGCACAACTGGATGTCAACCTGTAGAAGATTGAAATTAGACCCATATCTATCACCTTGCACAAAACTCAAGTCCAAATGGATCAAAGACCTCAATATCAGTCCGAACACACTGAACCTGATAGAAGAGAAAGTGGGAAGTACCCTACAACAGATGGGCACAGGAGATCGCTTCTTAAGTATAACCCCAGCAGCACAGACACTAAGGACAACATTGAATAAATGGGACCTACTAAAGCTGAGAAGCTTCTGTAAAGCAAAGGACACTGTCACTAAGACAAAAAGGCAACCTACTGACTGGGAGAAGATCTTCACCAACCCCGCAACAGACAAAGGTCTGATCTCCAAAATATATAGAGAACTCAAGAAACTAGACTCTAAAATGCTAATTAACCCAATTAAAAAATGGGGCACTGAACTGAACAGAGAATTCTCAAAAGAAGAAGTTCAAATGGCCAAAAGACACCTAAGGTCATGCTCAACCTCATTAGCAATCAGGGAAATGCAAATCAAAACAACTTTGAGATATCATCTCACACCTGTCAGAATGGCTAAAATCAAAAGCACCGATGATAGCCTTTGCTGGAGAGGCTGTGGAGGAAGGGGTACCCTCATCCATTGCTGGTGGGAATGCAATCTTGTGCAACCACTTTGGAAATCAGTGTTTCGGTTTCTCAGGAAATTCGGGATCAACCTACCCCTGGACCCAGCAATACCACTCTTGGGAATATACCCAAGAGATGCCCTATCATATGACAAAAGCATTTGTTCAACTATGTTCATAGCAGCATTATTTGTAATAGCCAGAACCTGGAAACAACCTAGATGCCCTTCAATGGAAGAATGGATGAAGAAAGTGTGGAATATATACACATTAGAGTATTATGCTGCGGTAAAAAACAATGACTTCTCGAATTTTGCATGCAAATGGATGGAAATAGAAAACACTATCCTGAGCGAGGTAACCCAGACCCAAAAAGATGAACATGGGATGTATTCACTCATAATTGGTTTCTAGCCATAAATAAAGGTCACGGAGTGTATACCTGGTGAACCTAAAGAAGCTAAAGAAGAAGGTGAACCCAAGAAAAAACATATAGTTATCCTCTTGGCTAAGGGAAGTAGATAAAATTGCCGGGGACAAAATTGGGATCTTGGGGGTGGGGTGGGTTGGGGATAAGGGGGGACAGGGAGAGAAAAGTAAGAAGGGGAGGATTGGGGGAACTTGGGGAAACAGGAAGATTGGGATAAAGGAAGGTCGGATAGGGGAGCAGGGAAGCACATATCTTAGTTAAAAGAGCCACCTTAGTGTTGGCAAGAGACTTGAACCTAGAGTGGCTCCCAGGAGCCCAAGGCGATGTCCCCAGTTAGTCCCTTGGGAAGCTGAGGATAGGGAACCTGAACTGACCCTATCCTATAGCATTACTGACGAATATCTTTCATATCACCATAGAACCTTCATCTGGTGATGGATGGAGATAGAGACAGAGACCCACACTGGAGCACTGGACTGAGCTCCCAAGGTCCCAATGAGAAGCAGATGGAGGGAGAACACGAGCAAGGATGTCAGGACCACGGGGGGTGCACCCACCCACTGAGACAGTGGGGCTGATCTATTGGGAACTCACCAAAGCCAGCTGGACTGTGACTGAAACAGCATGGGATAAAACCGGACTCTCTGATCACGGCGAACAATGAGGACTGATGAGAAGCCAAGGTCAATGACAAGGGGTTTTGATCCTACTTCATGTTCTGGCTTGGTGGGAGCCTAGCCAGTTTGGACGTTCACCTTCCTAGACATGGACGTAGGGGGGAGGACCTTGGACTTTCCACAGGGCAGGGAACCATGACTGCTCTTTGGATAGGAGAGGGGGGGTGAGAGGAGTGGGGGGAGGGGGAGAAGAGAGGGGGGAGGGGGAGAAGATTGGGGGGAGGGGGAGGGAAATGGGAGGCTGGGAGGAGGCGGAAACTTTTTTTTCTTATTCTCAATAAAAAAAAAAAGAAAAGAAAAAAAAATAAAAACACCATGTGGAGATTATCTTAGTTAAGCCTATCAATCATAGATATAAGACATATGAAATTCTTTTGAGGTAATCTCAGCTCTGACCATTTTTTACTATAATACTATTGTATCCATATCCATACACAAGACAGTTTCAAATTCCATGGCGCTAAAGAAAACTATCAGAAATAATATTATTATTGCTCCACCAAATTATGGAGTTATTGAGCAATACATAACTAAAACAAAAAAGCTCAAATTAAGCAGATTCTCCACACAAAATAATTAAAATCAAAATATAATAAGTTTACTTTTTATAAGTTTATGCTATTAAACTATAAACAATATTAGAATAACATGTCATGAGTAAATACATATTTTCTCATATTTGTGTACACCTTTGGTTGACAAAATAACCACCTGAACCAGTCAATATGTCACTGATCACAAAGACAAATGTGCTTTGCCTCCAAGAAACTTTTAAGAAAATTCAAAGTTTTCAAGAAGTAAAGGAGAGAAGGAACCCTGCTGAGATAACCTACAGATTTCAGTGGAATAAAGCAGTTATTTGGAAGTAGTGACCTAATTGCAGATCACAGATGTTCTTGAGCTAGAGTTCACTGTATTACATAGAATGAGTTCACTGAATTACACAGAATAGATATTATTGCTTTAAAAAACTGGATTATTATCCTTTCTATGAGTATGTCCAGGGGGAAGGCCCCCCTTTTCAGAGCAAAGAATTTAAATTTAATTACCTTCTTTACACACTAGCAAAGCTCCAATGAGGCCTGAATTCAAATCTTTCACCAGATCTACATGAGATAGATATGAATACGTGAGACATGGAGGGTCAGAAGCCATTGGACCATTCTCTTTCAGGACCTGCCAAACATATGTATGACTTTCACCAGGAAAAACCTTATCATCTTCCTTTTCCCTTTGACTTGTCTGATCTCCATATTCAGCTCCTAAAGGAAGAAGGCATAAAATTATTTTTTTGTGTGTGTCTATTGTCAACTCAGAAACGTGTTACACTCATAGATGATAATAGAGTCTACATAATAGACTTCCAAGATTTTGAAAGCTCTCACCATAAAGAATGATAAAATTTTCAAGGAGATAGATATATTCAATGTTTTAAATATTCCACAATATATATCTATACTAAACATCATATACTATACCATTACTATTTAATATATATATGACAAAATAACTTTTAAGTTTTAAACCACATTGTGTCAAAACATTACACTGTACCTCCAAAAGATGAGCAACTTGTGGGATATTAGTTTAAGATTTGTTACATTCATTTATGCTGTGGAACATTTGTTTAATGATGCAAAGATGTATTGCATTTTTTTGTTGCATTTGTTTAACTCTGTGAAGTTGTGTTACTTTGCCTAACTAAAACACCTGGTTGGTCTAATAAAGAGCTGAATGGCCAAAAGCAAGGCAGGAAAGAGGGAGAGGTGAGGCTGCCAGGCAGAGAGGATAAATAGAAGAATGGAAAGATCTAGGAATGAGAAAAGGAGAAGCGGAGGACACCATGGTCCAACCACCTAGTCAGTTGCAGAGTATGAAGGAAGGAAAGATATATGGAATAAAAAGAGCTAAAAGTCCAGAGGCAAAATGTAGTTAAAGGGAAATGGGATAATTTAAGTTAGAAAAGCTGGCTAGAAACAAGCTAAGGCTGGACATTCATAAGTAAGAATAAGTTTCCATGTATTTATTTGTGAGGTGGAAGGTAAAGCCATAAAGATTAAAAACACCAAATACAGCAACATTGTCAATAAAAATTCTCTTTATATTAAAAAAAAGCAAGAGGACATAATTTTTATGCCCAAAATTACTGTTAAAAAATGGTAAACTCGGAGAACCATCTCTGGGGTGAATGAGTTTCTGACCCGCGGCAGCAGCCTGGGACAAGGAACTATTCCTACAGGGCCTATACTACTGCATACTGCCTCTCTCTTCCTATCTCACCCAGCGTGCATCCAGAACCCTCCCCACTTCTGCCTCCCCGCCATCTTTGGACAAATAACATCACCCAGCTCAGCCTGTCTGGGCACTGGGATCAAATCTGGAGGGCAGCCAGGTGGGCGGGAATTTCTCTGTTTCAATAGCCTGCCTCCAGCAAGCAAGGTAGGCACTTTGTTTACAAGCCACCCTACCAGCGCGGAGATCTGATCTCGGCACCAGGAGAGCCATCAATGGGGCACCTAGAGAGCCATCACGGGAGAGTGCCATCACAGGGATGGTACATCAGTGGGCAAGACTACTATACGCAGCCAAGCTTTCGTTCACTATAAATGGAGAAAACAAAATTTTCCAGGATCCTGTAAAAGAAGATCCATAGGGGAGCATTCAGAGGAAGAGATGGGCAGGCGCCAATGCAAGAATTCACCCAACAATCTGAAGAACAACATGAAACCACCAGAACCCAGCGACCTCACAACAGGAGGACAGGAACACCTTAATCAAGAAGAAGTAGAAAAAATTGATTTTATGAAAGTGATTGACGTCCTTAAACAGCATGTAAAAATGCCCTTATAGAAATGGATGAGAAGTATAACAGAAAGTTAGAAGAATTAAATAAATCAGTGAATGATACCCTAGGAAACCAAGAAAAAACAATCAAACAGATAATGGAAACAGTTCAAGACTTGAAAACTGAAATGGAGGCAAGGAAGAAAACACAAACAGAGGGCCGGCTGGACATGGAAAATCTAGGTAAAGGAATAGAGACTACAGAAACAAGCATAACCAACAGAATACAAGAGATAGAAGAAAGAATCTCAGATTCTGAAGATACCATAGAGAAAATAAATGCACTGATCAAAGAAAACAGCAAATCCAACAAATTCTCATCACAAAACATTCAGGAAATATGGGACACAATAAAAAGACCAAACCTAAGAATAATAGGAGTAAAAGAAGGAGAAGTGCAGCTCAACGGTCCAGAAAATAAATTTAATAAAATTATAGAAGAAAACTTTCCCAACCTAAAGAAAGATGTACCTATGAAGGTTCAAGAAGCATACAGAACACCGAATAGGCTGGATAAAAAAAAAAAATCCCCTCGCCATATAATAATCAAAACACAAAGCATACAGAATAAAGAAAGAATATTAAGAGCTGCAAAGGAAAAAGACCAAATTACTTATAAAGGTAAACCTATCAGACTTATACCTGACTTCTCTATGGAAACCATGAAAGCCAGAAGGTCCTGGATAGATGTACTGCAGAAACTAAGAGACCATGGATGCAAGCCAAGACTACTATACGCAGCCAAGCTTTCGTTCACTATAAATGGAGAAAACAAAATTTTCCAGGATAAAAACAAATTTAAACAATACGTAGCCACAAATCCAGCCTTACAGAAAG